TATTCTACTGTTAGAGTGATATAAAAAAAGTCCGACACAAGTTGAATAAGAACTGAATATGTTATTCATGCAACTGTCCTTCTGCCTTCTCAATTGCCCTCTCCAAGATTCTACCTCGGATTGGAGGTATAGTCCTTGCTCTGAAATTTGTTTAAAATAGATATTATAGATTAGAGTAATTATCAGGTGTTTTTTTAAAGCTCTCTCAGACCTGTGAGCAATGATACTACCTCCAGTTTCCGGGGTGAACACATTTGACAAACTAGGCAATACGGTGATCACCACTCCTCACCAGTCTGTTTGAGGTTCATTTCAGACCTTCTGCCTTCCACAATGACCCAATCACAACTTTTTGAGGACACTTAGAAGTAGTCAGTAGAATGTCTCTGCATTGTCTGATTACTTATATATATCCTTGATTTCCTTAAAAGTGGCAATCAGTCCGATTTTTATGTTATCTAAGGTGTCACATTGGTCATCTTGAATGTGTTGGAATTTAAAGAGGAGATTGTTCCGATTCTGGGACATGTTTCTTCTTGAAGATTGGTGAAGAATTGGGCATCCCATGGGGCAAACAAGGTGATTATAGGTAGAAAACTCGAAATTGGCCACTGCAAGTGCATTTGGCATTATTAACTCCTGCATTCTTGCATGGAGGTACCTATATGGCTACTATTAATATGCATATATGTTACAGCTCACATAAATAACCTGGGGAATGGTAAATGGAGGGCGCATTTCTGGCTTTTCAGGGGGAGGAGGAAGGGGTGCTTATATTATATTAAAAGGGAGAGTATACCATGCTATGTGATTGTAAATAGTGACTAGGGCACTGGGTGAGACTGACTGAAAATCTCTACAGGTCTTGGATAAGAATTGGGGGAGATACAGAAGTTTGCTTTTTGTGATATTGAGGGATGAGGAGTGTCTTGGGTATATCTTTTGAACAAATGAACGCGTGGAGACGCTGAATAGCGCGTTTTGTAGCCTTTGATAGCCTCTATCTGAACGCATAATGTTTGGAAAGGATAGATACATGTGTGGCATAGAGATTTGAGTGCGCTTTTTCGGTTTTTTAGCACATAAACATCGAAAGGCCCATTGCATAACCAATAATTCATGCAAGACCACTATTATTGGCTCGTTCTGAATCTCTAGTAGCATACTAAATTATCGGCTGGTTTTTATGATGCAGGGATGCATGAGAAGCAGAGCATTAGGTGCGCATTTTCGCATTTTTGTGCATAGAAGCACAGTTTAGGCCATAACATCACCAAAAATGGTCGTATTCCCACGTTCTGGGTGTCTACAGGTAGCTATGAATGCCCTAAAAATTATCGCGTCATCGTTCCCATCAATTTCCACCAAGGGGGAAGCCAAACGAGCCTGAAATGCGCCAGCAATGGCTATTTTGATGCCAGATCCCAATTTAGCAGCTTGTGCTAAAAATAAATGTGCACCAAGTTAGGGTGACACCTCATATGCGCCATTTCGCAACATTCCATATCCCAGATTCTCCTGATTTTTTTATGACACACAGTAACATACTATCACATTGGCCCTGGGTACTTTTTTCACAAAAAACGGCCCCAGTTGAGGCTGCAGAGCAAACAGGTCACATGACCAGTTCTCTGCAGTGCCCTGGGGTCCTGCTTGGCCTATCCTGCCCCCATTCCCACCACCTGCCCACCCCGGAAATGGATGCTTACTAATTTATTTACCCCCTCCTCATCACCCTTGCAGATGCCGGGCACCCAGCAACCCCTCCCTCTTATTAGGAGAGCCTTCCCAAAGTGGAAGGTAGCATATTGCCCTCCAGGGCTTAGATTCATAGTTAGGAAACTGCCTTGTATTCTATATTTTTCTAACTGATACAGGTGGGGACAGAGCCGTCAGCTGCAGCCAGTACAGTTAGTGGGTCGGCTCTTGCATTCACAATGAGCTCGTTGAGAGAAGGGCGCCTATCCTGAGTAGGATTGTGCTCATCAAAACGGAGACAGTCCGCAAAGCGGTCCAGTAACCGATCGCCAGGGCAAGCTTCGGGCGCCAAAGGCTCGAAGTTCTCAGTTAAGGTGTGGACGCACTTGTCCACCTCCATGACAGTACTCTTGACTTTCCCTCGCATAGCTGGGGTCATCAAGGCAGCAGAGCATGCATGAGGTTTGGCCTGCTTGAGGAGTCTCTCACCCATCATGGAGCGCAGAGGGTGAGTGCCTGATAGGGTAGCGATGTGGTACACTGCGTGTGTCACCAACTTCTTCAGCATGAGGTGGACGGGGATGAGACCTGCAAGGGCCTCAAGACCGCCTGTGGGTGAGGTGCGGAATGCACCTGTGATCCAAAGAGCAGCTTTTCACTGCATCCATTTGAGCTGGTTCATGGCGCCCTTGTTACAGGTGCCATCAAAACACCAGAGACAATAGCCATATGTGGCAATAGGGACCATGCACGATCTATAGAGGAGGTGCTGCTGCTTAGGCGAGAGACCTCTGGTGGAGTTTCCGAGCATGCGCATGGCCTGCACAGTAGTGAATGCCTTGGTGGCATAGTAGCTGAGCCCTGCCTGACACCCACGTCCGCAGACTGTGGGCTGGATTGGAAGGTGTTCCAGCAGTAGACTGTGGATTGGCCAACTAGATACAAAGCAAAGAAATCCCCTAAGACTGGCGAGAATCCCTGTTTATGAAGGACAGCCATGAACATTTCATGGTTGATAGAAGGGAAGAACAGCACAATGTCAAAAGCCAGTGCGCTAGTCTGGAGACCCTTAACCCACCCCGCTCACACAAGATGGGTCAGAATCAATCCAGCATCCTCAGTAGACCTTTGGCAAATACTGCCAAGCTGGTTTGGATGAAAGATATCATGTTTGACAGCCTCAAATTGTATCCTGTTCGCAATCATCTTTCTGATAAGTTTACCAAAAGTGATGAGGAGTACTATAGGCCTAAAGGCCTTTGGGACTGCATAGGAGGGCTTGTTCAGTTTAGGAATGATAACCAATAGTGACTCCTTGAATATACATGGCCAATGCCCCACCCGAAGGCAAGCATTAGCCAACACAATGAAGAGCGCAAGGACGTGGTTATCCTTATATCTCCTCAGTCCCTTATCCCGAGTTGCTCATCTTTGGCACACCGTTGCCTTGCGTGTTCCCCTACCTGTCCACACTTAACAACTTTGAGACATTTGCATCTACCATGAGGGCTGCAACATTTTGTATTGTATTGGCACTAGCTGCAATTGATGACATGCATTTATGTTCTGTTGATATCTCATATGCATTCACCAATGAGGACATTGACATCGAAATCTACATGAAGCAGCCTGAAGGGTTTGTGCAATTTGGCAAAGAGTATGTCTGCAAGCTGAACAAGTCTCTGTATGGGTTAAAGCAATCAGCACGGTTGTGGAGTGAGAAGCTCACCAAAGTCTTATTGGAAATAGGATTCAAGAAGACCTACAGTGATGCTTCACTCTTCATCTTTGATCGAGATGGTATCAAGATCATTCTGCCTGTGTTTGTGGATGATATAACTCTTGCTTCGAGATCTGAGGAGGCATTGGACAAGTTTGTTGCTGAGTTGGCTACTCACTTTAAACTCAGGGACTTGGGACCAACCAAATTCTTACTGGGTGTAGAGATTGGATGCAACAGGGCAGAGAGACAGTTGACCCTGTGTCAGCATCAGTACATTGTCAACAAGTTGGAGGAATATGGAATGGCTAGTTGCACACCTGTTGGTACACTCATGGTCCCTGGTCTGAAGTTGTCAAAGGAAGACTGTCCAACAACTCCAGAGGAAAAGGCAGAGATGGAAAACATCCCTTACATTAGCACCATTGGATCCCTCATGTATCTGGCTACAATGACCTGGCCTGATATTGCTTATACAGTGGGAGTACTGGCAAGGTTCAATTCCAATCCAGGAAAACCGCATTGGCAAGCTGTTAAGCATTTGTTCCGATATCTGAAAGGCACCTTGGATATGAAACTGGTTTATAGCCCTGACCCTGCATTGGGGAAGGAATTGTTTTGGACATACAGTGATGCAGATTTTGGAGGGGATAAGGATAGAGGGAAGTCAACAACTGGGTATATGGTGATATTGGAAAGGGGAGCAGTGTGTTGGAGCAGCAAACTTCAGTCAATTGTGACCACATCAGCCACAGAGGCAGAATATGTTGCAGGACTGGCAGCAGGCAAGGAGATATGTTGGGTGCAGAACATCTTGACTGAATTGAGCTACCATCCTGCTAAGCCTTCAAAACTCTACATTGATAACCAGTCAGCATTGTCTGTGACCAAGAATCCAGAGCATCATGGGAGAATGAAGCACTTGGATATCTCATTCTATTGGTTATGAGATCAAGTAGAGAAGCAGAGCATGGAGACAATTCATCTGCCCACAATGGAGATGCCAGCAGACCTGTTGACAAAAGCATTGCCAAAGCCTCAGGTGGAGAAACTGCGAAATATGATGGGCTTGGTTGCATGAGCTGTTTGGCTGTTTGCTCAGGGGGTTGTGTTTTTGGGTGATCAAACAGTTGGGGGGTTGTTTTAGATTGAAGAAGTGTTTTCTCAGGGGGTTGTGTTAGAATTAGTGAGAAATCACTTCATGGACTCTAAATGAACACTTCATGGACATTGTAGATAGATCTTATTTCATTAATATCTCATCACACACATTGATTCTCATTGTGTTTGTTCCATAGTTAATCTCATCTCGTTGTCCTGAACTTGTACATACTCGTTTCGTCTCTGTAGCTTCAGTAGATACTTTGTTAGACTTGTTTCTCGCTCTAGGCATGGTTTCTGGATGTCTGCCCACGCTTGGAGGCACCAGTGCACAACTCGACCAAACAGGTCGGATTTCCTACCATGTCCTGGAAGCAGGTACACTATGATTGAACTATTGGCTTGAACTCACAATACACTTGATTATTTGCCTTATCATTGGTTACTGCACTTATTGTGATTGTTGTGTGATCAGTGTATCACCATCCACTTCGTTGCATAAGTTTAACATGGCTGCACTTGCGGGGCTGCTTTGCAGTCTTGTCAGCACATTCTCTTTTGCTGTCACAATCAATATTCTGTACACTATCCCTGTTTTCTCAGGGATATTGCATTGTTTTTGAAGCACAACCCTATGGTGTTTGGCTTCAACTGGGACCCCTTGGGTGTCGGATAATTGCCGCAGGTGGGGTTATTCTTCCTTTTGGAGGACTTATCATTGAATTGACACCCTTGAATCTTAGGGTTCAGAGACCTGCGCCCGCTCCACTTCTTCATGCTTGCAGTCGACCTTCTTTGGTTGATTGATTGCAGCGCTGCTAACTCTCTGCATCTGGTTTTGAGCAGGCGCATCTTTGGCTTGTCAGCCTCAAGACACCCTGCCACCTCCTGGGTGGTGCTTTTCTTATCTCATTTGCGCTGCGTGGCCTCCGAACAGCGATCAATGACTTTGGGGCGTAGCGGAATCTTGATGGTTTCCTCCCCTTATCCTGATGCACCATTTTTGCGAGGTGGGTTGCCCTCCAGGAAGTTTCGATGTATACACCAGAAGGGTCTTGGTTGGGGGGGTGGTTGTCTTTAGGTAGTTAACTTAGTACCCAGGCCACGTAGTGTACATGTTTGTAGATAGCGAGCAGGCTGCTACCGAGCACTGCTATATAAATTGTTGATCAAAAAAAAAAAAACAAAAAAAAAAAAGACATCGTTGACCATTGCGACATCCTCATCCTCTCCCTCTTTAGTGGGGGTGAGGTTCTCAATCTAATGAACATCTGCTCTGATGATCAACTCACAGCCATTGAGCATCTTGCTGCTCATGTGCATTCTCTTCCACCTTTCATTTATATGGCAAGTGACTTCAATTGCGTCTCAATGACTTGGGATGACTATGAGCATGGAGAGTCGTCAACGGCAATATCCCTGCAGGACACCGCATCTCAGATCGGCCTTGAGTGGGCATGACCTTCTAACCATGGACCAATGAGGATCAGTCCCAATCCAAACCAGAGATCCAATGTTTTGGATCTTGTATTCTTAGCTCCATCTGAGATCTTGATCTCAATGCCCAGATTGGAGCACAATCTCCAGGGTCCGTCAGATCATGTCCCAATCTGTACGGATCTTGATATCAGTCCCAAACCACCTGGATCTGGGCAATGGACAATCAAACCCAGAAGCGAGGCTGAGAAGTCTTTCATTTTGGACATTCTCCAGGATCTTGCAGCTATTCCTGTTGCAGCCCCGGCAACCAAGGAAGGTGTTGAAGCTTTAGCTGATGCTATTGCGACAGTGTTCTCAGACACGTGGCTCATCCACTCAACCAAGTCTAAACCTACCAAGCGCTCCAAGTCCTGGTGGATGGATGAGTGTGTTAAATGTCTAAAAGTGACCACATCAGGGATTGAACCTGGGACCTCCTGGTTCCATGCACAGGTGCTCTAACCACTGAGCTATATGGTCTATGTTCAATATGAGTTGGATATTGGTTACATACCCAAGGATGAACATGACTACTCTGCCATTCTGGTGCATTGCATGGGTTGGCACTAGGCTTTACTTGAGTAGTTTGGAGGTTCTTACCATGTTAGTATGGCTTGACATGCCACCATCTAACAGAGTGCTTGGATACTTTTGGCGTATATCAGTTGAGCCATTTGCTGGCTGATTACAACAAGTTCAAGAAGGCATGTAAGGACGCCAAGCGTGACTTCTTCAATGAACGCATCACAGAGATCACTACTTCTTGCAAGCGCCTGTGGGACCTAATGGAATGGGTCAAACAGCGCAAGCTACCACCCTGTGAGGCTATTTACAATGGCAACCAGCCTTGCCATGATAAGGATGACCTTTGGGACACCCTCCATGGCACATACAACTTGGCCTCTGGTCACAAGTACGATGCCTCAGTCTTAGATGAGCTTCCTGATGAGCTGGTCCATGAGTGGGCTGACTTCTCGGAGCATGAGTTGTTGAGTGCCCTTAAGAGGTGCTCCAACTCCTCTGCGCCAGGACCAGACCATGTTACATGGGTCCACCTAAAGGAGTTGCTCAAGGATAAACACGTCCTTGCGCTCTTCATTGTGTTGGCTAATGCTTGCCTTCAGGTGGGGCATTGGCCATGTATATTCAAGGAGTCGCTGTCAGTTATCATTCTGAAGCCCAACAAGCCCTCCTACGCAGTCCCAAAGGCTTTCAGGCCTATAGTACTCCTCATCACTTTTGGTAAACTTATCGAGAAGATGATTGCCAACAGGATACAGTTTGACACTGTCAAACATGATATCTTCCACCCAAACCAGCTTGGCAGTATTTGCCAAAGGTCTACTGAGGATGCTGGATTGATTCTGACTCATCTTATGTGAGCGGGGTGGGTTAAGGGTCTCCAGACTAGCGCACTGGCTTTTGACATCACGCAGTTCTTTCCTTCTATCAACCATGAGATGTTCATGGCTGTTCTTCGCAAGCAAGGGTTCTCACCGGTTCTGGTGGAGTTCTTTACCTTCCAATCCGACTCGCGGTCTGCGGATGTGGGTGTCAGGCAGGGCTCTGCTCTCTCGCCTGTTATCTCTGGGCTGTTCATTGCTCCGGTAATGAAGCTCTTCTACATCAAAGCGGCGCTGCTCAACACGACGCTCCTCTTCTTCGTGGACGATGGGACCATTTTGGCCCAGTCCAAACAACTTGATGATAATAATGTGGGCCTGCATAAGGCTTATAAGATTATCTACCTCCTCTTTGTTGCTTTCACGCTCGTTCTTGAACACGACAAGACCGAGTTGTTCCATTTTTCGTGTCGATGAGACGCCTATAATCCTTTGCATGATCTGGGGTATGCCCTGCATACAGGCACTACACCTTTGAAGCCCAAGACCTATTGGAGGTACTTGGGCTTTTACTTCGACCACGGGCTCACTTTTCATGAGCACATTCGCTACTATGCCACCAAGGCATTCACCACCGTGCAGGCCATGCACATGCTTGGGAACTCTACCAGAGGTCTTTCACCCAAACAGCAATGCCTCCTTTATAGATCATGCGTGGTTCCCATTGCCATGTATGGCTATCATCTCTGGTGTTTTGATGGCACCTGTAACAAGGGGGCCATGAACCAGCTCAAACGGATGCAGCGAAAAGCTGCTCTTTGGATCACAGGTGCTTTCCGCACCTCCCCCACAGGCAGTCTTGAGGCTCTAGCAGGTCTCATCCCCGTCCATCTTATGCTGAAGAAGTTGGCAACATGCGCAGTGTATCGTGTTGCCACCCTCTCAGACACCCACCCTCTTTGCTCAATGTTGGGTGAGAGACTCCTCAAATGGGCTGAACCTCACACCTGCTCTGCCGCTTTGATGGCCCCAGCTATGCGAGGGAAAGTCAAGAGCACTGTAATGGAGGTGGATGAGCGGGTCCACACCTTAACTGAGAGCTTTGAGCCCTTTGTGCCTGAAGCTCACCCTGGTGCCCAGTTACTGGACTGCTATGCGGACCGTCTCTGCTTCAATGAGCATGATCCTGCTCAGGATAGGCACCCATATCTCAACGAGCTCATCACCCATGTGAGGGCTGACCCTTTAACAGTACTGGCTGCAGCTGATGGCTCTGTCCCTCAGTCTAACCAGTATCAGGCAACCTCAGCCGCTATAATCTACAAGGGACATCGCGAGCTCCAGAGGACTCGCTATGTCTCTGGCAGGGTTACTGCCCCTGATGTGGAACTCAATGTCATCGTGTGCGCAGTGCGCCTTGCTGTCAAGCAGCCAAACTGCCAGCATATAATGGTCTTTACTGACTCCATGGGCTCGGCCCATAAAGCAGTTGACCCCTCTGTACATTCTGGTCAGGCTTTTAGCCTGTCAGTTTGTCATGTTCTCCAAGAGTGGTTCGAGGTGGATGATTTCTGCTGCATCACCTTCATTTATGTTCCATCTGCTCTGCGGTGGGATATCCATGGTGAGGCATACAAGTACATCACCAAACTTAAAGTCAGGGTTGAATGTTGCAAGACGGACAATTCAATAGACGCGCTTTGCTCTCGAGCTGCGCACTCAAGCCTGGATGCATGGGGCTCCATGTTCCAGGATCGTATCTACCGAGGCTCTGAATTGTTAGAGCTTCAACAGCCTGATGGGCAGCCGATCCAGCCATTGTACCTCAATGGGGGACCTTGGCTTTCATACTTCGGACACAGCATCACTGAGTTTGCTCATGTTTGCCAGTGCATAACTGGCCACGTGCCCATTGGAGCGTACTACCGTCACTTCAAAATCAATGAGCCTCATGGCTGCACTTGCGGGGCTGCTTTGTAATCTCGCCAGCACGTCCTCTTTCACTGCCGCGATCGATACTCTACACACTATCCCTGTTTTCTCGGAGATATTGCTTCCTTTATGAAGTACAACCCTACGGTGTTTGGCTTCAACTGGGACCCTTCGGGTGTTGGATAATTGTTGTGGGCAGGGTTATTCTTCCTTTTGGGGGATTTCAAACCTTAGGGTTCGGAGACCTGTGCCCATGGCAACTCTTTTGTGCAGGTGGTCAACCTCTTTTGTTTGATTGCAGCACCGCTAACTTTCTGCATCTGGTTTTGGGCAGGTGCATCTCTGGCTTGTCGGCCTCAAGACACCTTGCCACCTCCCGGGTGGTGCTGTTTTATTTCATTTGCGCTGCATGGCCTCCAAACAGCGATCGACGACTCTGGGGTGTAGCGGGACCTTGATGGTCTCCCCCCCTTATCCTGATGCACCGTTTTTGCAAGGTGGGTTGCCCTCTGGGAAGCTTCGGTGTATACACCAGAAGGGTCTTGGTTGGGGGGGTGGTCGTGCTTTAGTGCTCAACTTAGTAACCAGGCTGTGTAGCATATGTGTCTGTAGATAGCGAGTGGGCTGCCATCGAGCACTGCTATGTAACTTGTTAAAAAAAAAATAAAAAGCTACATGGTTCCAACATACTAGAAGTGGCGTGCATTCAATATCCTGCTTTGTAGGCTTGCATGGACCTGTGAATATAAACACTAATACCTCATCAAGATCTGCAACCAGAGGAGGAAGAGTATTGTATATCTTGGGTGTTGGATTCTGGAGGGTAATAGTGTTAGCTCGCATTTTGTATCTACCAGAGGCAACTTTAACAATGCAGCGGTTGTGGCGCACTCAGGAAATGAGCAGTTTTTCAACATAGGTAAGACGTGACAGCACATGGGGCATCTTTCCAATCCAGTAGCCATTTGCCAGTGCTGCAGGTGGTACTTTCCCTTTCTTAAGCAGTTTGCAACAGCCTTGGCATATGTGCTTACAGTCTGGATCAATAACTGGACCAGGAATGTCTTGAATTGGATCTGTTGTGGACTTTCTTTCAAGACATGTTATGTTAGGAAGGCAAAGTGGATTGAGCAATATCTGAGCATCTGCAAGTAATTTGAGCTGTTTTATGGGTTTCAAAAGGCCACAAACTGTACAGCCTGCTTCAATAAATTTCTCTGGGCTGGTGTCAGCTACAATGTCTGAAATGATGTGCTGCATCAAGGTATGTGAAGGAGGAGGAGGAGGAAACAAACCACTTGGTATTGTGGGCCATTGCTTTGCATGGCAATTACGAGTTCATTTTTGTCTCATATCTTTAGCTGTCCTATTTATTCTTTTAGTAATTCTTCTGCACTCTAAGCAATGGGGTGAGTTTGATATTCTGACTGAGGAATAAACTACTGTACATGGGTATTTATGCCATGTAGAATAACATACTATGATTATATAATAGATAACTCAGCCAAGACAATAAGCACAATGGAGATCAATAGAACAATGGCTTGGAGGCACAATGGGGTGAGCTAGAGACATGGCACATGTCGGAAGCATTCTGGAAGCTCAGAGCTCATTCCTGGATGTCTAAGAAGCATCTGAAAAGTGCACAGCTCAATACCATAAGCCTCGGAAGCCAGATAACAGCCTTGGAAGTTGCATAATCAAGCCAGGAGCAGGGGGATGGGTGGTGACAAATGCTGGCATATTTCAATTATTTCTGGGCCATTTTAATTTTAATTTCAAAATATCATAAATCATGAAATATTCATAACTCTCAGTAGAGGTCTTGAACATGGGAAAATTCCAGGATTTGGTAGATCTACAGTCAAATTAATGCTTCACACCCCTAAAAATATGAAAGTGTGGCTTCACTGGCCTCTCTCCCAGACATCCCCTAGCTAAAACAAATCTGCATTAATGAGGAGTCATAATATCCAGTTACATTGACTCCACAATATCAGCATCATGCACAGAATTGTGTGCACAATTGACTGAATAGTGCTGATTTCTAAAAATAGCTGAAAATGTGCACTCAAATCTCTACCCCTGGCAAGGACCAGAGCACTGGAACACCTTGGCAGCATTATGTAGGATACAGAGGGTTATTAGAGAATATAGAGTTTGTAGATGTACATTCATTATTTATGGCTGCATATTTAAATTACTAAAAACCCAAAAATGCACATATTGCAATATCTTGGCACTCGGACCATTGACAGACCTGAAAGTCAGTACAGATGTGTCACGACCCATTCCGTGCTGAAGACATCCGAGAGACATCCGTTCATAGCTGTTTCGGTTCTTCGATTATATTGTTCTTTTGTTTGTTATTTGTCTTTGATTTTCCTAGTGTACATGTGCCTCATTATTCTATTGTCATTAGCATACACGTTCCCTCCACGAGTTAGACAGCCGACGGCTCATTGTCATAGGTAGTCCATTATTCGCTGTAGTATTTAAGGGACTGCAGGACGACCGAGTCCGGCAGTCTGAATATCATACTCGACTTCTAATCTCCTCCTCTCATTCTCATCCGTTCTCATCCGCTCACATCCGTTCGACATCCGACACCGGCCTAAAAGCCTATACTCTGAAATCGGACTTAGACTATCTCGAGGGCGCAATGCACGAACATTGAAGCCAAAGTCCACATCCGAAATCTCTTCCAAAGCACATCCGAACGCACCCAGTCTCTGGCACACCTCGGCTCAGCACAGGTCATAACAGTATATTCAGACTACAAGCTCGAATAGTCTGTCTACATGGCTACAGGTCGGCCTCGTCAAACAAGGACTGCCCAACAAGCTGGTATTCAAGAAACCATGCTTTCCTTCACCTGTCATCGTCGTCCAACGGTTCCAACACTCCAACAACCTCTCCAACCTTCTCCATGAAACCCTTTCACTCCTTATCTTACACCCATGGCACAGCTCTACCCGGAAACACCAACTCGCGCCCTGGCCTCTGTATCTGCACCGTACCTCAATAACCCATGGGCACCTGAGCCGCAAGGTCCTCTCAGTCCTCTGCAAACACCCACTCATTTTCCACCGGCTGAAAGCACTTACCTGAGGACTGGAACGTACCAACCCACAGGTTTCCATACCCCAGTTCCTCTCTCTCCGGCTCTTCCAACTGTTCTTGAACAAATGGAGACGGAAAGCACGGATCATTCGGGAAGTGAACCTGCCGAAATTTGTTTCCTTTGGAACCAAACTCAGCTCATGGAAGCCATCCACCTCATGGCCAGGAACATGTCGAATATGCCCATGATGCAGCCGCATCAAGAGCCGACTCCTCGGCCCAAGTTGAAGGCTCCGGATGTGTTCGACGGTACAAGCGCCCAAAAGTTGGATCCCTTCCTCATCCAGTGCATGATGTATATTTCGCTCCGGCCCCATGAGTTCACCACCGAAGACTCCAAGGTCAGCTTCATTATGTCGTACTTATCTGGCTCCCCCTACAACTGGTTCCAATCACAAATCACTGCCGCCCTCGAAACCGGTATGACCCAGCCGCTTCCGTGGCTTTCAGATGTTGCGCTCTTCATTCAGGAGCTCAAGCAACTTTTCGGCCCACGAGATCTGGTTGCAGATGCCGTTAACCACCTCGAGAATCTCACCTTCCGAGACTCCGGCAAAGCAACACAATACACCTTGGAATTCAACCAGTATGCGGGTCACACAGGATGGAACGAACGAGCCCTTTATCATCAGTACTACAAAGGACTTCCGAACTGGATCAAGGACAAATTTCCTCATATGGGCAAGCCAACCACCCTCATTAGTTTGCAGTGAACCGCCCAAGAACTCGATCATCGCTATTGGGAGCGCCAAAACGAGATCAATCGCGAAAAGCGCAAAGACAACGCCAACAGCAAGTCCGGCACCAGCAACAACAACAGCAGCAACAACTCCGGCTCATCAAACTCCAAAGGCAACTCAGCCGGGTCGTCTTCCGGCTCCGGCTCTTCGAACTCCAAGTCCGGCTCCAACTCCAGCAACAACAGCAAGGATAAGGATAAGTCAAAATCCAAAGGCTCTTCTTCGGATAAGCCGAATCCTCTGGCTGACAAGTTGGGTGCCGACGGAAAGCTCAAGCCTGAGGAACATGAACGCCGGCTCAAGGGAGGCCTCTGCCTCTTCTGCGGCAAAGCTGGCCATGTTGCTTCCAACTGTCGCAAGCGTAACTCCGCCAAAGGTCATGCCTCGTCTACTATGGCCGCTCCTCCTTACACCGCTTCCGCACCTGCCGCTCCAGCTGTGAAGGACACTAAGTCTGGAACAGCAAAAGAGTAAGCAGCCCTCCGCCTTCAGCATTGCCAGAGGGTTGCGGTTGCTCTCGCGATGTCCCCAAAGAAGTTCGCCTTAATGCCGCAGCACTATCCGACCCCAACTTCCTCACACTCCCTGTTACATTACACTCACGATCTACGGTTCCTGCCACCAGCTTGGTAGATTCTGGCTCCACTCATTGTTTCATTGACACTAATTTCGTATCTATACATAATGTCTCCACTTACGATATACCTCCTTTAGCCTTACGCCTCCTTGATGGGACTGTTAACACTTGGATAACCCAAGCTGCCGACATCCCTATCCGATATCCGACCGGTGACATTCTCTCCTCGACCTTCTTTGTCACTAAACTGGATTCTTCATGTGCCCTAGTGTTTGGATACAATTGGCTGTGTAATTACAATCCGTTGATTGACTGGACCGCAGGCCTTTTACATTCTTTCCAACGTCTTCCGCAATCCGAGGCTCTTCCGAGTCTATCGGGCCGTTCGGCTTCTGCCTTACCGCCCACTCCAGTCATTGCCGAGTCACTTCCAGTCCCTCCTATTCCTCCTATCCCACCTACTCCTTCCCTTCCTTATGAACCTTCTCCCAAACCATCCACTCCCTTGCCTCACGTTTCCCTCATCAACGCAGTCGCCTTCGCACGCGCCTGCCGTCTTCCGGGGTCAGTCTCGTTCCAACTGGCCCTATCCGGCGACGGTTCGGTCTTGGCTCGCTCTTCGGCTACCAACAACCCGGAACCCGTTGACCTCTCTTCCGTCCTGGAAGACTACCACGAATTCCCGGACGTGTTCAGCAAATCCAAGGCCGACACCCTCGCACCTCATCGTCCCTATGACCTCAAGATCGACCTCGAGGAAGGTGCCGAGCCGCCCCTCGGCCGGATGTATTCTCTCTCCCCTACCGAACTTCAAGCCTTGCGAGAGTTCCTGGAAGAGAATACTCGATCCAAGTTCATCCGACCATCCAACTCGTCTCACGGAGCCCCTATCCTCTTCGTTTGGAAGAAGGACAGCTCTCTTCGGCTCTGTGTTGACTACCGCGGCCTTAACAAAGTCACCAAGAAGGACCACTATCCCCTCCTGCTCATCTCCGACCTGTTGGACGCTCCTGGCAAAGCCAAGGTTTTCACCAAGATCGACCTTCGGCATGCCTACCACCTGGTCAGAATTGCGGATCGCGACAAATGGAAAACCACATTCCAGACCCGCTACGGCTCATTCGAATGGAGGGTTATGCCGCTCAGCTTATCCAATGCTCCGGCTGCTTTCCAGCGATTCATGAACAACATCTTCTCGGATCTCATCGATATTTCGGTTATCGTCTACCTGGATGACATTCTCATTTACTCTTCAGATCTCGCCTCGCACAAGGAACATGTCAAGGAAGTGCTCCGACATCTTTGGAAGCATGGACTTTACACCNNNACACCAATCGAAGGCACCCGATCGTGTTGAGTACCTCGGCTATATTCTTTCGGCTGACGGTCTCTCCATGGCGGCAGACAAGGTCAAGATCATCCAGGACTGGCCCGAGCCACGGAAAGTCAAGGACATTCAGTCCTTCCTCGGCTTCGCCAATTTTTATAGACGGTTCATTTACAATTATTCTGACATCTGCGTTCCTCTCACCCGGCTCACTCGGAAAGGTGTTCCCTTCAAGTTTTCTGATGAAGCCCGGGAATCGTTCAACTACCTCAAGAAAGCCTTCACTACAGCTCCTGTCCTCACCCAATGGATTCCGGATCGGCCCATCATCCTTGAAACCGACGCTTCCGACTATGCCCTTGCTGCTATCCTCTCTATCGAGCTGACCAATGGAGAAATCCACCTGGTTGCTTTCCACTCCTGTATGTTCAATCCAACC